AAAGGCCCCAAAAAATGGAAAAAAGTGGAAATTCCTAACCAGAAATAAAAGAGGTGGATATGTATTTAGAATTATTAAGGAACCCTCGACGCCGACAAACCCACCCCGGATTTGGTCGGCGTCCATATAAGCGAAGTCGCAGCGAGCAGAAATCAGTTTCAGATGAGTTGCAGTTTCAGTTCAAGTTAAGTTGGTTCCGCCTCGCAGATAGCTGACTTGAAAGATTCACGCACATTCCGGACTCCTCTTCAATCCAAGAACAATTATTTTGAAGAGCGACTTAGATCCAGACAACCAAAATAAGTTTTTTTTTCGACTTTCGTCCGAAGACACACCGAAAAACCAATTTCTTAAAGAGCAAACAACTTGAAGCGTTAAAACTCGCCTAACGGAAAACAACATGTCACAATCCATTAAACGGGTCGGGAGATAGACGCAGTCCTATGTATCGAACAACTAGACATAAAGTTTGTTATCTTTTTCTTTGATACCTTGAACTTTTGAGTTTTCATTTTCTTTTCTTTTATGCATATTTGTGTGGTGTCACCCCGTTGAACCTGATTTGCATTACGGCCCCAACTACTGATTGATCTCGTCTGCCTAAGATCAATTCACAACGTGGGTAGGCAGACTGGAGATCAATGCAGTTACCTTTGGTAACCAGGCGTTGGAAGCGAGTTGGGAACGACGAGGCTGATATCAAATCTAACCAGATTCCACCCGAATCACCAAAAGGTTAGAACGTCACATTTGGGTGCCGCGACCGATACCAAGCCAGTTGGTCGTCACATGACGAGACAACACGACTGACGCGACAGGCGGACGTCACGTTTGGAGCGGCGACACCCGAACGGAGCAGCGAGGAGAGAATAGCTGGCGCCGCGGCGAGGACGTCACAGTTGGTGCCGTGGTAGACCAGGATAGGACGTCACAATTGGCGCTGCGACCAGGGGACGACGTCACAACTGGTGCCGTGACCATAGGATAGGACCCTGGAACAGACACTGCCACAATTACTACCGTGACAGCAGGACAGGACCCTGGACCGACCGCTGTTGCTGAGAAATTTCGAATAGAACTCAAAACGACCCGGGACCTGAGAGGAACGAGAGCAGAATCGTCTGTAAGGTAGGACACTTTGTTTGATTTCCCAACCTCGATTGTTGCTGCGTAGATTGTCTTTCTCTTTAAATATGTCGGACTATGATTCAGATAGAGCAGTGGGGGATGAAGAGGGGTTAGACAAGGGTTGTCAGCTGACCTAAGAAGGTTGTTGGGTGGACCGAGGGTCCCAGCATTTGACGGCAGTGAGAAAGATTTCAAAAACTGGCTGGCAATCCTGGAGAAGAGCCGAGTTATATATGAACTCACAGACCAGGAGACCCTGTATCTGGCATATGATGCCACGAAGGGGAAAGCGTCTGAATTTATGAAGGGGCTCTTGGAGAGTGAGCCCAACTTGTCATGGGAAAGATTAAAGGGACTATTAACCAAGGAGTTCGCCGACGAGGGCACGGCTATAGAGGCCATGAAGGCCCTCCTAAAGCTGACACAGCTGCGGGACGAAACCCCTGGAGAATTGGGGGCCCGAGAGGGGAAGCTGTCATCATTGGCCTTCCCAGAAGGAAGAGAGACAATGTGGTCATGCAGGCCCAGTTAGGAGACCTGTATGTGGAGGCCCTAAGTGACGAGCGTGTTCGTCACGACGTGTTGAAGGAGGGACCGCTGAGACTATCGGCAGCAGTAGAGCTGGCCAAGGAGAGCCAGGGCATATGGGAAAAGGTGAAAAGGTGTGGAAGGAAACAGATACTAAGTCAAGAGGTCGGAAGAAGTGGGGAAGGCGGAAGACCCCCTCGCGTGGAATCGGAGGGTCAAGCTGGATGTAGATCAGTCTGAGGTGTGGGAAGAAGACCCCAATAGAAAGGCATGGTCAACCAGGCATGGGTTGATACGGGCTGGTCTGCTGGACTTGTGGGCATGAGGACCACAGAGCGGCGGAATGTCCGACGAAGTGGGGTTTGTCCCCAGACTTCGAACAGGACAGGTGCACCAGGTGTGGAAAGAAGGGACACCTGGCCAAGTGGTGCGGGCTGAGAAAAGGTGCTCCACCGATATTAACAAAGAAGGCCGAGCCCAAGAGACAAGACCAGAGAAAAGCCAGCGGGCCACCCCGGAATTAAGAGGGAGGGTGGCCCAGTTAAAAGGAAGGGAAATAAAAGCCTGGACCAGTGGTCTGGCGAGCCGCTTGGGTGGAGGACAGCCCATCCCCCCGGAAATAAACGAGAGGTTAGCTCAGTTGAAGAGAAAAAGAGCAAAATGTTGGACATGTGGTCAGGTGGGCCACTTTGCGGTGAACTGTCCGGCAAGAAGGTGCTGGTTTTGTAGGAGACCAGGGCACCTGAGGAGAAGCTGTATCCTTAGGAACAGCCGCAGGAGACTGGGAGAGGTCCAGCCGGGGCCGCCCAGGTGCGGAAAGCGCAGAACTGCCCCCCGTAAAAATAATGAAAGTGATTTATTGCTGTCGGCGCCTATGGCTGGGATGACCCAAGGGTGGGAGCCCAGGAAAAGGAAAGACCAAGTGTTCTCTTCGCTGACGCAAGAGAAGGAGCTATCCTGTAGAGCAGAGATAGGGGGTAAGGCGATGAAAGCCCTGGTAGACACAGGAGCATCTGTGTCATTGCTGAGAGAGGAAGCATACAGGCGGGTGAAACGGAAGAGTAGGTTACGGGAAGCGGACATAGAGGTCACGCAAGCAGATGGAGCCCCCCCCCCCCCTGGGGATAAAAGGGATGGTGAGGCTCCCTGTGAGGATTGGGAAATTAAGAAGCACCCAAATTTTTTACGTAACCCCCAGCCTGTGTACGGAGGCAATCTTGCGAGAAGATTGGCTCCGGAGCCAGAGGGCCCAGATAGAGTTCAACCCCACTGTGTTGATAGTGAATGGCGAGAGAACGCCATTGGGATGCCCACCAGAAGAAGATATAACAATAATGGTGGAGGAAGATGTAAAGCTACCCCCTAGAACGGCGGTGTCGGGAAAGGGTAGGTTGATGTCAGGGAAGAAAATAAGAAAAGGACCCCTGCAGTTGGTCCCTGCAGAAGGGAAGGGCCTAGAAGAGAATGAGGTAACTTTGTGTGAGACGGTGGTGGAGGCAGCTGAATTAGTGCCCATAATGATGGTGAACCAGGCCCAAAAGACTATTAAGTGTTAGTTAGAGGAGGGAAGAGCTGAACTTAGTAAGAAATTATAGAATAATTGAGTAAAGAATTGTGGAAATATTATAATGCACTGGGATGTGTGACCTTGTTGGAAAATAGACGACTATTGGTTGTGATATCTGTTCCGTTGTTGGATAGAGAGAGTATATTCGAGATATACCAGGTTATAAATTTACCCATTCCCTACCCCAGAAGAGATCAAGGTTTGGGAATGATAGCAAGGTACAAGGTGGAAACAGAATACATAACTTTAAATTCGGGGAGAATTAAATTCATGTTGCTAACAGCTGAAGAAGCTAGAAAATGTAGAAATGATGTTCTAGGGACTTGTACCTCGTTAAGCACTATCTATATAGCTGGTAACCGCAAAAAGGTGCATACTGGAATTGTTTGAAGGGAAGAGAGAGGGAATTAAGAGAACCTGCAAAGTGGAGGTATTAGCAAACACGGCATTACCACAAGCTATCAGTGTTTCAGACGGGGTGTGGGCAGTGGCCACACAGAAACCTATCAGCTTGTCTAGGGTATGTGGGGGAGAGTCCACAGGGACATTAAGAGTAAGGCCACCATTATCCCTGTTAAAGTTACCCATGGGATGTTCGGGATATCTATTTCCTTACCCCCCTATTACCAGGAAGAAGAAACCCACCCCGGTTTTGGTCGGCGTCCATATAAGCGAAGTCGCAGCGAGTAGAAATCAGTTTCAGATGAGTTGCAGTTTCAGTTCAAGTTAAGTTGGTTCCGCCTCGCAGATAGCTGACTTGAAAGATTCACGCAGATTCCCACCCGAATCACCAAAAGGTTAGAACGTCACATTTGGGTGCCACGACCGATACCAAGCCAGTTGGTCGTCACATGACGAGACAACACGACTGACGCGACAGGCGGACGTCACGTTTGGAGCGGCGACACCCGAACGGAGCAGCGAGGAGCGAACAGCTGGCGCCGCGGCGAGGACGTCACAGTTGGTGCCGTGGTAGACCAGGATAGGACGTCACATTTGGCGCTGCGACCAGGGGACGACGTCACAGTAGCATGAAGGCTAATTGCATCTACCCTCCATGATATTATGTTACTACAGGCAATATTTATTCATTTAAACTTATTTAGGTACTGGGGTAGCAAGAAAGTGAGTTCTCTCTACCCAATTGATATTATGTTATACTTCAATCAGCAATGATTATTTTGGAAGTAGTGAAGAAATTTACAAGTGTTTTTCATAATAATTTTAAAAGTCGTTCGAAACAAAGAAAAAAGAACTGAACTGTTATGAAGTTTCACTCCTCCTCTCTGACAGTGAATGTCAAACGATCTTCTCACAAATGAAGAAGAGACTTGAATCAGTAGAAATATGATTCTACAAAAGGATGATTAGAATACCATGGATCGAACAGGTGAGGGACGTTGAAGTTCTAGAGACAATGGGCACAAATAAGACACTTATACTTAACATCAGGAAGAGATAGTTGACAATTTTAAGGCAAATAATGAGTTGGTTGGTTTGTCTTTGTTTAGCTCCCTATCACACTTTACAGGTTATTTAATGCCGATATCTAAATATTTTGTACGCAATTTTATTTTATTTTGTGGAATATAATAATGGTTTAGTGATACAAGTCTTACTAATTAACCCATATTTGGGGGAAGAAGAGATAGTTCATACATTTCCCAAGGGCATGTGTGTGTAAGCGAAAATAACGAACTCAACTGGAATTCGAACTAAGATCTCCGATTAAAAATTCCGTGCCATTATCCATTACACCACCCGCACATCCAATCTTATAGCACCTGTTATTTCCAAGTGGTAACGCATCTAAGTGCTGAACAGGCCTAGTTTTGTTTAGCCTTGGTGATCGTACGGGAACCGGTGCTTTAACGTGATGCGGCAGTAAAACGCGCATAATGAGGAAAGGCGGCATGGAAAAATTGATACTCTCAGAATAGGTTAAATGTAAGAGGGCAAAGAGGAAATCACTACCCAACCTATCTGGCGAGCTTGAGCGAATGAATAGCGGAGTTGGGTTTGGGATGAGATAGCAACAAAAGAAAAGTTATTATGCGCTACAACATACAGGAAATTGTGGAGAACCATGATCGCTAACGTTCTGGTAGGATACAGCACATAGAAGAAGAGAAGGGATTTAATAGGGTATCTTTTGATGTGCCTGTGAATTAAGTTTTGGAGTAAATAAGCGTTAAATACGAAAAATCTTTTGATAAAACTTAATAATTACAGCGAATAATTATTATTATTGATGCTTATCGCCATCATTTTTTTTTATAATTCTTTATCACTTGACGACATTTAATCTGCCATTGCCATCGTCATTATCACAGCACATTCTCTTGACGAAGATGATGTTGGCTGGAGTTGTGCTAATTTGAAAACACTGATAGCGAAGATAAATGTTTTATTAATGGAGACTGTAAATATGCTAGCTTTAATGGTGTCGTTGATATTGATATGAATACGATTAGTTTTCGCCTTGAATATTTGCATGACGCTTATAATGGAGGAGATTTTTTCTCCTCCGCCATAAGAGAGTGGGAATAACAATGGCAATTATGGTGATGCGTGTAGTTAGAGAGATGAGGATATCAGTGAGGAAGTAATTCTATAAATTAATCAAATCAGCACTGTCATCTTTCTTGTTTTAATATGGCAATACTTCCTTTTGGAAATACAGACCTTTGATAAATCGGTAACAAAATGTTGTTGATGTTGATGGTGGATGATAAAATTGATGGATGTGAATAGATTCTTTACGTCGTAGAATCGTGATTAACAAGGTAGTCTCTTGAGAATAACCATTCTCAAACTTTTTGTTATTATCTAAGTTTTCAGTAAAATACATCATTTGTAAAAAGACAGAATGTATGGTCATTAGCAAGAGAAACAAACGAAGATGTGAACTCCGACTTGGCGGCGTCAGTATCAAGCAAGAATAGAATACTGACCGGGAAGTGTTTTAACAGGCAACGGAAAATGTTCCATCGAAATCTAATGCTTCAATGAAAGATCGCTTCCCAAAGGCTTGTTGGGATCCGTCTATCTAGGTTTTTGTTGCTATCTGAGTGTCGAGATTTCAGCATTTAACAACAACAAAAACAACACATCCTTTAAATGAAACATACAAAGGTTATTTTCTGAAAGAAAACTAGAATCACAACGTCAGTTTAAGTACCATTATTATTATATTAATTATTATTAATGAAAATAACAATAACAAATATATTAATTATTATTAATGAAATAACATTCTTATTTTCAGAAATATACAGTAGCAATAAAATGTTCAATTGTCTAGCAGTGAAGTTTGTTTTATCAAGTAATAAAATGTTCGTAGTGCGATATGAAATGCGTGGACGATATGAAATGCGTGGAAAGTATTGCTCTATAGGAGGTTAGCATAAGCCATACTAATGAAAGGTAGAAAAAGTTCTCTGTGGTGATTAAATGAAAGCAATTTTATTTTGGAGTCGTTCAAATTTACCAACCATTTATTGCCTCCACATAACAACCATTAGAGATCCCTACGAATTCTACTTTATCGGATCCGTCGGATTTGCTACTTAAACAGGAGTAAATAGTTGTGGCATCTGCACAGATACCTATTTGGGAACTGATAACATCGAAAATGTTGTTGATGAATATCAGGAACAGTGTAGGTCCGAGGAGAGATCCCTGGGCGACCCCCGCATTAATATGAGATGAACTAATGCCATTGAAATATGCTACATAAACCTTTTATCAGAGAAAAATAGAATTGCAAATAGTGGGCAATATATTTGTTTCATTCTGTTTTTATTTATATGACATTACGAGCATTCAGTTTAAATTCCATTTGTAAAAAAAGTTTTTTTTTTTTTTTTGACAGTTGCTATATCTACGTTTTTTACTCTCAAAATTGGTGCATTTTTCTTTACGTCAGGTGATTCTCAGAGTGCTGATGAAATCATGTAACACTTTACTGTTTGACGCATTGTTGGGTCATCGGCAAATAAATTTGTTCCCTACCAAACATTTTCTGGTGAGGAAGACAGCTAGACATGTAGCAGGATTAAAACAAGGCGTATCAAATGGTGTTTGAACGTTCTTGTAGAGTCTACTGCTATCTAGCAGATTGGTGTAGACAGGGCGAAAGAGTTATGGATGCAACCAGTACAATGACGTCGTCTCATTGATGGACGAAGAAGCTGCGAGATTGGGGTCAACGGCCAGAGCGGAGGGTTTTCCCCGATAGAATGAAAGGCCATGTGTCTATGACCAAGGTGAGGCTTCAGGTAGAAGGACATCGACTGTTTTTTGACATAGAGAGGATATTATAAAGTTCGTATAAAGTTCATTGTTCCTGGTTAGTAAGATTGTAAAAGAAACACTGGATCTGGAGTGAAGAATAGGTTTAATAACATGAAACACATTGATTCAGTAATAGAAAATATCGTAGTTCAGGGCGTCAAAGCGTAAGAGTCAAACGATGTGCTTTGCGAGCCACTTTGAGACGACTGTTCCTATGAGAAGACGTTCTACTCATAGTGAATGGTCAATTAATATCGATAGTATTTCTACACAATAGAGGGGGAGGGATAAGCAGATATATCGGTATGTTGAGCCCCTTCTGTTTGATAGGGTTCTTGAAAGATCCAGAGGCGGATAAGGATAATTGGCCCTGATAGCATCTCGTCTGCAGTCGCTCTCACAGAGATGCCTCCCTCTGTCTTTTTTGACAAATACTTTCATGGTAATTGCTCTGGAGGAGCTACATTAGCTGGTTCCCAGGGAAACATGAGTTCAAGCTCCCTACGAGGCTGGATCCACTCTCACCCCTTCACTGTCGAAACTACTAAATGTAGCCGTCTCTTCTACTCCAATAGCTTCATGTCTCGCACCTCTCGCCTGTGGAACTCCCTTCCTATTTCAGTTTCCCTGAGAGCTATAATCTCGAGCTATTCAAATGTAATGTCAATCGACATCTCCAGTTGCCTTGATCTATCCACTATCCTTCTCCTCAATTCTTTCCTCTATCACTCCTATCTGATTTTGTTCCAAATCTTCTGTAACCCCTTGCGTCCAAGTGGCTTCCCGTCCTGCTTGGGGTGAAAGACTTAGGATATATATATATATATATATATATATATATATATATATATATATATATATATTCATGAATTATTCATACAAAAACAAATAAAAAACCCTAATGATTTAGATGAAAAGATCCATGGTAAACAAACAATTCAAATAATATACAAAAACCCTATACTGCTTAGGTATGGAATAGATCCTTGTTTCTATAAATTTCTGCTGCGTTAGTTCTTACGAAAATATATGCTTTCGTCTGTTCCTAAAAAATCTTCAGAAATGGAATGGATGTTGTTCTTGTTTTTTTATCTCAGTGTGCGTTCTTGGACAACGAAAATATATGTATTTTTTATACGAAAAATGCTATTGGAAATGAAGTTATTGTTTTTGGACGCGTAAAAAGTAGCAACGATCAGTTTATTTTTTAAATTTTTCGTTGTCCTCTTATTACTGAGAGAAAAACAAGAACAACATTTATTTTTTACTGGTAAATTTGTCTGTAGGAACAGACGAAAGCTTGTTCAAAAAATAAGAATGTAACGCAGCAGAAATTTATAGAAACAAGGATCAGTTTTTTAATTCATAATATTTTCGTTGTTTTCTTATTATTTGAATTGTTTGCGACGTTGGATTTCTCGCCACCAAATCATTAACCTTTGCATTTGTTTTGTATGAATAATTCATGAATTTGTAAATTGATTGCACGTTTATCGAACTTATATATATATATATATATATATATATATATATATATATATATATATATATATATATATATTCATCATAAATGTTAAGAAAGGTCTAATCTTTTACGCCATTATTTCTGATCGTTACCACTAAGTCCTACCTTGTTATGTCCCCTCTGTTTAATCACGCTGATTCTGAACGTATTCCAATTGTAAGAAAGACCTAATAATCGCTAATTTGTGTAACGGATTCCCAGGTGGAATATTCTCATAACATTACAATTTTAACCATCACAAGTCTAGGAACAATTATTATCTATCCTCCACATCCTCATAATCTTAACTTCCTACATAATTCTGTTAAGTTCATATGTCATACATCGTTCATTAACGCTCTCTCTTTAGTGGGTTTGTAATTTTGTATTCGGGGATATTAAACGAATAAATAAATTGGCAGCTAAAAGCAATTTAATTTTTGGCAGTTCATTTTTTTCTTTTGGCAGTTCAAATATTCTTGCAGCTTATGTGATATATTTTAGTCAAACACAAAGAACAATTTTTTACGAGTTTTTTCTTCCGAAATTATGTTAAAATCTACATTAAGGAGGTTAGTTTTTCTTAATTCCTTGTGGAATATTTAAACAAGCATCAGATTCCCTTTAGCGATATAGCACCGAAACTGGGCAATTATAAAAGATCTTTTTAACCTTCTTAAGGAAATAATACCCTTTTTGCGAATTATACGTTATGTATTATAGAGACATTTTGTTTAAAATAAAAATCTCAGTGATGAATTGCAGGGTAGTCTACAGGGGTTTATCAGAGAGATAAATGAAATTAAAGTACATTTTACGCTAACGTTCACCTAAGACAAGGATTAAGAGCCACTTATGATAGACAGTTGCTTAATTAGGTGTGTGCTATGAATATAAGATAAGGATAGTTTGATTTCGTTTTTTAAGGCTTATCAACCCATTGTACGTTATTTAAAGCCAGAAAATATTTTTGAATTGAAAGAATATTTTGGAGATAATAATGATTTACTTACACAAGTCCTAGTATTTACCCCATAGCTGGGTAGAGAAGAGCTGGATTCATACATTTCACA